TGGAGACAAAAGCTGTAATGCTGGTTTTTTTCTTTTCTTTTCTTCTTTCCTTACATGGGCTAAACCTGGACTTCTGTCGCCCTTTGCTTCATTCAGCGCGTTATTCCAAATCTTCTGTCACAACAGGATTTCTAGAAACGAGGCTGCCTTCTGTCACAGTAAACGCTTATTCTTGCCCAATTCAGAGACTGCGCTTGTCTCCCGGCCGTGTCCCCCCCAGGTCCACCGAGCTTGGCAGGGCAAGATGCCCCCAGCCCTGGGGGTGCCAGGAGGGGGCTGTGCACCGGGGCTGCCCTCGCCCATCGCGAGGGTCCTGCTCTCGTCAAAGGCTGACCCGTCCCCTTTGTATCTGCCCTTTCTTCGTGTGTGAGTGGGTCTCTACGGAAATGTGCTCGTGCTTTAATTTGGCTACAGGTACGGGGGGGGAGGGAAGGTCAAACCACAATTCTGTAACACTTGCTTTATCCAGAGCAAAGATTTATTCACTGAAAAGATTCCTACATATCCAGAATTCCATTAGCATAGAGTGCACTCTTTTTTTTTTTTTCTTTTTTTGCTGGTTGCATAAACTAATACAGAAACTGTTGTTAATCCTAACAATTTTTAATTAATTTAATATCAATTCTGGAAGACACTCAGTTGATAGAAAATATAAAAAAAAATTTTTTTACTGTACAAAGTTTACATCACATTTGAAAAGAAAACGCGTCCATTTTCACCGTATTACAGACTCCATTTACATTCACTACTGACGTGAGGCTCTTGTAGCAGCATTGTACAGCCCGCTTCACATTTACAACTCAACCGGCACAGGCTCACCGTGCTGCACGCCCCGACACCAGCACACGGGGACAGGACCTGTGACCATAAAACAACGCAACCTAACGACTGTCGCTTGGTCTGCGACATGTTGAGGGATGAGAGAGCTCTGCTCTCCTCCCAGCTGTACAGCTCCACTGGGTTCGGCGATTGCCGTGTGTCTTACACCAGCTGATTAAAACGAAACCTATCCCAGAGACAGCAATCGGTCTCTCTGTTGTACGGGGGGGGGCCGGTGGCTGGGTTTTGCTTTCAAGTGCGAGTGATGGGTGTTAAACACAAAAGCAAGGTCAGGTTGAATTAGAATCCCAAATCTCCTGGCTAAAGGCAGGTTTGAAACCCCTCCGGCGCCCAGGATGGGAGCAGCAGGGCAGCGTTCCCAGGGCAGGGCCAGCTGGGACAAGTCTCCTGTTAGGTCCAGCACCCTGCAGCCGGAGGGAAGATGGGCTCCAGGCAGGGGCCGTGCAGCTCCGTGTCTGCAAAGTCATCACGGACAGTGTTTGTTACACCCCAGGGCAGTCATAATGACAAATGGTTTTTGTTGGGTTTTTTAAATTGTTTTAATCTGGCTGGTCATCCAGTGCAGCTGTCCTTCTCCTGGCCAGTCATCTTATTAGAAAGAAAATGAGAATATATTGCTTTCCCAGTGTAGTTCTTGCACATCCGCACAGCAGCGTCACTGCTGGCCAGCGGGCAAGGGAACTCATCTGTGGGCAAGCTGGGTGACTGGTTCCCACAGGGAGAAGTTCTGGGGGTCCCAGCTTTCAGGACCTGGTTTATGCACATAGACAGCAGAAATAAATCGCGAGGAGTTCGTAACATTCCCGCTGCAGAGCAGCACCCCTCTCCCTGCTTCAGCTTGGTGGTGTGCTGCTGTGATTTCAGCAGCACTCGCTGGGAAAACAACTTCTGCTTAAAACTGCTGACGCAAAATTACTGAGAGAACAAACAGCAGCAAGTCTTGAAGAGAACCAAGTGGTGCAGGTTAGAGACACAGAGTGGCTGGAGGGGGGTTATTTGCTTTATGAAGGAGGGGGAGAGGAAGGAGGTCAAACAAGTACCACAACGCTGTGCTTGGGTGCCACCAAACCCATTTTTTCTTCTATATCTGAGACATCTAAAAAGTTGCTCTGTCAAAATATTTGTAAGAGAACAGGACTGACTCACGATAGGAGTGAAGCCCTCTGCTCAGCAGAACTCGGGAATTCTGCTTTGCCACTTAACTCTCTGCAAGTCAGCCCAAACCGCGTGCCCGTCCCTTCGCCTGCCCTACGGCGGACTCCAGCGCTCCTGGCCCTGGGATCCTCACGGCAAACCCTTGTGGGGAGGGTGGAGGGCAGAGAGGGGGTGTGGGACGCACCAGTGCTGGTGGAGAAATGAAATGTGGTGACGGCCAGGGAGCCCTGACGCACTGTCTCAACAGAACGCAGGATGGTGAGGACAGAAGGGATCGGGCAGTGGCCGGCTCTCGGAGCTGGTACCTCTGTGGGGGGAGGGGGGGGTGAAAACACAGCTTTTGGTGTGAGTTCTGGGTAGGAGAGCGCTTGTGGCTTTAGTTGAGGCACAGTCTGCGTGATCAGAAATTCCCTCAGAAGAGGTTTGTACGAGTGGAAGTTAAGGTAACCCCAAGCTTGGACCAACCCTGCCGAAGCAAGGATTGGTTTGGGCAGGTCACAGGCAGTAGATAGATTTTTACATTAACGGAAGAAAAACTCAATCCAGAACTCCAGCCCCTTGCACGAGCTGCGTTGCCATTCTGAAGCCAGCCAGCTCCGCTTCTCAGAGGGAAAGCAAAGGCTCTGCAGGCAGGAGAGAGCTCCTCTTTACCACAGACAGGAGACGGAACCAGAAGAGTTCCTGTTCTCAGTGCTAGTGGAGAATGGCTGTAGTTAAACGATTCACTTTTTATTATGTTTAAAAAAATATAGTTCACACAAAAGTATCATGTAAACATTATTTAAATAACTGCTGGTGCTCAGGCAGAATTCAGACTTTGCAAACAACCCGGGGCTGCGAGCTGATGGTCGTGCGGCGTTCAGCTGCGGCTCACCAGCGTCAGAGCGTGGGAGGTTCAGTGAGGATTTCGGCTGCTTTGTGTAAGGAGGCAGCCACACTGCCGCCAGCCAAGGACACACCGCACTATAGCTTTTGATTACTTGGTTCCAGGATTCCCAAGCCAAATCTTTCAAAACGCAGGACAACTTTGCTACTGTTAATGCTGAAAAGAATGGGGAGGGAGAGGAGAAGGAAGGGGGAGTTATTTATTTTTAATTTTTCTTACAAAGCCACTGTCCTATAAAAGGAACTAAAATGGGTTCAGTTCTGATCTCATACAACTTCACCCAGAAAAGAGGCTCAAGTAATTCAGCAGCAAACACCTGAACTTGTTCATGCTAACCTCAGCAGTGGAAACATACAGACAGATCCGATCTGCCTCCCGGGGGAGGAGGAGGAGGCTTTCATTAGTACTGAGGTGGGCAGAAGCCCAATACTTGCTTTCAAGGGGCACCGGGTTTCCTTGAAGCAGAAGGGAGGAAAGAATGGCTTACCCAATCGTCTGTTTTAACAAGGTACATCAATTGGTTAAAAAACCCAAACCAACCCAACCCATCTGCTCCTCTTTATGGACTGGAGCAAGTGCAGAAAGATCTTTTCTTTCACCCTTAAACTGCAGCACAGCTAGAAACCTCCTCACTTCCCCCTGCCTTCCTGCCCAGGCGCACAGAGGCGAGGCAGACCACCCTGCAGGACACTTTCTGAGAGAATGGGTAGGTGGGGGTGTTTGTCCTCACTGAAGACAGCAGAAATCCCTCTGGTTCTCGGTGCGCATTCTCTTCTGTCTCTGTCCTCTCCCCTCCGAAACAGGGCATTTTTTCAAAATCATGAACCGGTAAAGAATGAAGAGAGACCTTTCCTGAAAAGGCACGTACTCGCTGTGTTCCCTACGCTGCTGCAAAGCCCCTAATGTTGTCGGACATTTTGCTGAACAGGGGATGTAAACAGGAGGAAATCATAAAATTCAGAGCACTAGATCTGCAGGGGGAGGACACCGCTTGTCCAGACCTGGTCCCCAGTAGGCTGAGGGACTGCCCTCTGCTCCAAGCAGCACAAGGACCATCCTTCCTCCACCCAGGAACTGCACCAGCTTCATCCCACCCCTGACAAAACTGACCTGGCTTCAGTGCTGGCGCTGGAGAACCAGCCCACCCTGGCCCCTAACTCCCGCTGGTTTTGTCACCGGCTGTGCCTGGGAAATGTCCCTGTTGCCGTCAGTCCCAAGGCCACAGTCCGGCAGTGAGGACAACAGGCACAGCCTCGGACCGCAGCTAGGAAGCCACCCTCTGCCTTGGGCACCGGCAGGGCCCCCACCAGTCACACCAGTTTCAGGAGATCCCCCAGCCTGCTGGGCAGGACACACAGCGCTGGCTCGGGCGTGCACCTGGTTAGCCAGAGAGCGGATCACTAGCCCCTGTCCCAGGGGAGGTGACAGCCTGCTGCCGCAACGCTTCAGAGGTGAGAGGTGGCCACGGTGTTAGACAGGAACTTCTTGCAGACAGGAGTTGTTATTCAAGCTAACAGCCCACACCAAGCGGAAAAAGGCAGAAAAGGAGAATTTGGATAAAGTGTTGATTATGTCCATGGGTTAATTTTGTGGTTTGTTTTTGCTTTTTTTAAATGGGAGGTGATTGTCCAAGTTGCCGGTTAGGATACAACACACGGAAGCATGCAAGGTGGAGCCCGTTATTGCACCAGTAGCTACAACCTACAAAGAAACACGGGAGGGAGGGGAAAAAGACACCATGAGAGTTAGTTTCCAGTTATTTAAAGCAAGCCCTTGAGAACAACACCTTATACAGCTTACACCAGAATAAAGGGTTAGTGCAATGATTCTCAGAGGATTGTGAGAGGGGGTGTGAACACGTCTCCAGTGGGTTCTGAAGGTGCGGGGGTCTCTGGCTGGCAGGGCTACAGAACGCGTGTGCCGTGAATACAACACGGTGCGCAGGGATGAACAACAGCTCCGCTGCCTGCGCTTTCATTTCAATGAGCACTAATTCAGCTGTCAGTGCTGATAATTAATAGTGACACTCAAAGTACTTCTCCCCTATTAAATGCTTTGAGCAGAGAAGTATTAATGTATGCAAATTGACATGAACCACTTGGTGGGGGCGGAAGGGGGGTCGGCCTGTCTACCCGGGGAAAAATAATGAGGGTAGCTACTCCACGAGACATCGTTCTGCAGTCCCACAAGCTGCTCAAAAATAACTCCCTATGGAAACACTAATCCAAAATAATCAGTTGGCAAACTGCTCTGGAGCTGAGCATTCTCCTGAACTGACTGCCCAGATGGGAAGCGTCACTTGGAGTTCATTCCCAGTGTGATGCTAGAGGCCAATACGGGAGCAGGACTGTCTGCGTGGGAACGTGCAGCCAGCCCGGGCTCTCCTCTGCTCTGCGGTCTCTGCTTAGGTGCTGAAAGGATGTCAGATCAGTCATCAGAGATAGTGATCCAGCACAAGTGGATTTTAAAGGGAAATGGTGACACATTTTTTGATCCTTCCCTTCCTCAGCCAGAACCAGCCATAACGGGGGAAATTCTAACGACTCTGGGGTCAGTGTGGGCCCTGTCCCGTGCTGTTGGTAGACACTCTCTGAAACCAAACATAAAGCTGGACGAGTCATCTACTGCAGGAGGGAGGTGAATATGTCAAAGTAGAAAATTCACTGTCGGAAGCATGCAAGCTTAATTGCATCATTTCCTAGTAACTAGAAAAGCCGCACAGCACACTGTTATGCTCCCAACAGAGGTTTGACATCACCCAGGAAGGCAAAATAAAGCACAGAAATATTTGAGCAGCATCTATTCTGAGCAGCATAAATGTTCTGAACAGCAGCAAATACTCACTCAGCAGACTTCCAGAAATGCCCTGGGTGGGAGAGCCGACGATTCAGTTTTGGCAGTTTTTCAAGCATATCCATGAGGACAGTGAAGCTAGGTCTCTCGCTGAGATCAAATGACCAGCATGCTGAGAGAATTTCCTGCAAGGGACAGTATCTCCACTTAGTTCCCAGGTCAACTGTGCAGCACACGGAGCTGGCTGAACGCTGTGAATTGTGTGAGCCCAGCCAGAGACACGGTTTAACAGGGGTCCTGAACGTTCTAACAATCAAACAGCATCCTGTGTACCGGGGGATGTCCACTTCTACATGACAGTTATGGGAGAGGCTCATATCAAACCTGGTGTCCCATTCTAACCTGTTCTCTCTCCTGCCCTTTGTCTTTAGAATTATGAGAGAGTAAAATAAATCTCCTCTTACAGCAGCTCCTTCTTTTCCTCATCAATAGCTGTATGGAAGGATTTCTACAGCTGAGGTACTTACATTGACTTCTTTCCCCAAACTAACAGTCGCAAGGACTTGTTTCACTCCTTCGCCGCTTCCAATCTGCCAGATGAGCGCCTCTGCGGGCTGGTTCTTGAAAGGCCATTCTCTCGCTTGGAGCTCAAACCACACAGTCCTGCAACATCAACAGACAAATCAAGCCTTTGCCTGCTCTTAAGAGTTTCTTCAGATAAACTCTGGAAGCTGTATCAGGCTGTGGAGCAAATCCCTCCCACCCCACACAGCTCCCACCCGTGACTTCTGTCGAAGGTGAGAAAAATGCGCTGCAGCTGGAACGCTGAGTCTGTGAGAAGAGGACCTCTGACTCGCAAGGCTCAGGTCTGTAACAGATCTCATTTAGCAAGCTCCCGTGGTACTCTGTGTTCCTTTCTTACCCAAAGGCATAGATATCTGCAGCTTTGGAGAAAGGCAGCTTGTCTTCGTCTTTCCCAGGGGCCATCTCACGAACAATCTCAGGGGCCAGGTAGCATAACCAGTCATGAGGCAGCTTCAGTTCATTCTCCCTCCTGAGTTCAAAAGAAAGAAGTGGTGCTGAAACACTACTGCTTCAACAAAGGTGGCATAAGGACTGTGTCTGTGCTTCACCTAATGCCTTGACTTTATTTACTCAAAGGTTTTTGATAACGTTTTATTTCTAATTTTTGTGCCGTATTAAAAAATCTGCACGCATTAGCCTGACTCTCCAGCTCACTGTTGGGCTTATTTTGTTCATTCTGTGTTCTGAGTCTTAATCCATACAGAGCTCCCTAGCTCTGTGCTACTGGAACTGTAGAAAGAACTCTGCTTAAAAAAGGAAAACAAAGTGCATATTCCAAAAGTGTGTGTATGTACTAAAGCCATCAACACTCCTCACTCGTACCGCATCAAAATGTTTCTCTACTTGAACATTTTTTATCATTCTAGAAGTGGACCAAGCATTGAAATCTCCACTTACCTTCCCTCCTGAACCACACCCGAAATTCCAAATAATCCAAAGTCAGTGATCACAACTTTCCCATTGTCATAGAAAACATTCTTAGATTTCAGATCCTTATGCACGATCCCCTTTGCATGAAGATACCCCATGCCCTGGGAAATACATGCAGAGATGTAAATAACAAGAAAAAAGTTTACAGGTCTCTAACTCTGGGCGTGCTTTGCTTTCTCATACACGTTTGCTGTCATTACTCCAGCACAAATGATTAACTGTAGGCGGGGACATGGCAGCTGGAAGGGTGCAGGGGAACTGTGCAAGGGAGCGGGTCTCAGTTCAGCGCTCAGCCTCGGAACTGCTCCTCACCCTCTGCACAGCAGGGCTGCTGGAAGGGTCTCTTAATTGAAGTTAAGTGGCTGTGGACCTCACAACTCTGAAGAAGTCTGTATGTGTAGGAACAATGAACAACCGACACAAGTTTGCTGGCTAAATTCACAGGCTATTTCTGCCAGAAAACAGCAGCTTTAGAAATGCTCCTTCCATTGAGAACTATGGAAAGCAAGCACAGCCAAGACTGCAAGTCTGGGAGAAAATGCTGTCTTCTTCAGAATGCTGTGGTTACTAACAAAGAGGAGAGACCGGGAAGGAAACCTGTTCTGCACGCCGTTCTTCATTGTTCCCTTTACCTCCGTTCTCCCTCTGCAGCCCCTCTCTGAGAAGCACAAGGTCTGGTTCTCTCCTGACAGCCCTTCGCTCACTGCCCCCTGAATTGGTGTTTTTTACCTCTCAACTCTGGGTATCTCCTGCTGGAACACCCTGTTGGGCGACCTCTCCAGCTCTGCAGGGTCTAAGCTCTTGCTGAGGCACTGCCTGGAAGGCGGATCTCTCCGGTAGCGTAACGGACTCTTACCTTGATGATCTCCTGGGCTATCTGCCTGGTTTTGTTAATATCCAGGGATATCTTGGGGTCCCTTACAAACGAGTGAAGCGTTCTTCCTTTGCAGAAGCTACAGGAAAGAAGAACAACAATCCTGAAAAAGGTCTTTAAAAGGAAAATAAAAATGTAATACTGGATGTTCGACTGGTTTTCTCATCATGTAGACAGAATCCCAGCGCACACTGGTTTATTGTCACTTTGCTGAACTGGAACCATCTGGAAGGAGATGACAGAGGAACAGCCTGTTCCAGGTTTTTTTTTTCTCCTGCTTTTTAGATTTTATTATTTAAGAATTAAAAGATAAAAAGGAAATCGACAAAAAAATATTATATGTTCCCGTAGAGGAGGCAACCCCAGTATCCAAAACTCTGAGCAACACAGAATGCATTCATGTCTGCCGTCTTCTGACTGCAGTGAGAGGGTT